GCGCGCGGTCTCCGAGCCTCACCTCGTCCCGCCCTTGTCTAGCGCCCAGTCCCGCGCGCGCGGTCCCCACAACTCACATCGCCCCGCCCCTGTCCCGCCAACAGAAGGACTACGCGCCGGTCCCGAGCGCAATCCTCGAGCCTCCCCTCGCCCCGCCCCTGTCCGCTCCCGTCCCGCGCGCGGTCCCCGCGCCTCACCTCGCTCCGCCCCTGTCCCGCGCCCCATTCCGCGGGGGTCCTCGCGCCTCACCTGGCCCCGCCCCTGTCCCGTGCGCGGTCCTTGCGCCTCACCTCGCCCCACCCCTGTCCCTCGCACGGAATGATTACGCGCTCCATTCCGCGCGCGGCCCGCACACATCCGCACCCTCTCGCGCTCTGTCTAGTCCAGATATGGATGTGGGTACCCTCACCTGGCTCTTTTCTGTCAGCCTGGCTCTGCTTGTGTGGCCAGACTGTTTCTGGGCGTCGCCGACCGGTGAGTTCCCAGATTACAATTTAAGGGGTGTGGCAGAGGATCACTGGGACAGGGTTCGAGTCCAGACACCTGATCGCGGGACTGAGCCTTGGTCCCCTCCCCTGGCCCCTCCACCGCCCCCGCGGGTTCAGTCCCACCTGGTGCAAGTGTCTGGCTCTCCTCCTGAGGCCCTCCAGAGGAGCTAGAAAGAAAAAAAAATAGTAAGGGCGAGGTGGGAGAGACAATAGGGAAGGAGACCACAAGCTGGCAGTCTCTGGTGACATCTCACTGCCAGGAAGAGGAGCCAGAGCCACAACCCCCAGGACAAGGTGTGGTCCTGCACAGGGGCGTGATCCCCCCAGAGTCAGGACAACAGACACTCCCAGACCCAGCTCTGCTCTGCAGACTTTCACCCACTGCAAACCCTCAGCATCCCAAGGCTGTTGACTCTTGAACTTCCCACCACACTTTGCCTGGGGGTCTCAGCACATGCGCCCACAGAGCCTCACCAGCCACCAGCCACAATCACTTTTCTATGATTCAGTGAGCCACCACCCAGCTCACCTACCTTCACTCCTTTTCTCATCTAGCCACGCCCCATCCAGGGCCTCCCTACCTTCCCTTCCTCCTAGGGACCCTAACCTCCACCAGGACCACCTGGCACCATATACCTCTGCCTGAGGACACAACCGGCAACATCCTCCACGTCACCCAAGATCCTAAAGCAAGAGCAGGGGGCCCATTTCTCTAATGACCCTGGTGATGTTATAGAGCTGGGGTCTTCCTAAAAACTGAGGCAGCTGGAAGACCCCCATCTTCAAACCCTGATTCTTTTGATCAACTCAGAAAGGTTTCAGACATATTGCTCAGAGTAGGAAAAGGGACATTCTCAAGGGAGAGAGTGGGTCCTCTCAGAGGGGAGAGACAAAGAGCACTCTCCTGTGCTCCAGTTCTTTTTTGAGGGGGGGGCAGGAAAGTTTTCAGAGAGTCCCACCCAGGCCCACCTCTTGGCTTTTGACTGACAGCAGGGTGACATCAGAATTTCAAGTCTGCTTTGCCATGACAACTCTGTCACCTTGGCCCATGCTGACTGGTTCTAATTGGATTCTTAATCATTTTTACAGGTTTTATGGTTAGGAGGAATTATCTTTATCTTCCAGAATCCGGTCTGTGAAGGGTCACATAACTTGGGTTCTTCTTGTCAATGTTACTTCCTGCCTGAATTTCCTTGTAGATAATAGTTTGCTGAAGAATATGACATATCCTTTCCACTTTGGTTAGGCAGGACTGCAGGTAAATTGTTTTTTTTGGCAAAGAAAGCATGTGGGGGTGAAGAAAACATGGGAGTCAGCACAGTGGGACATTTCATAGAATTATTCTCTTAACGTGTGTTCCCACCCTCCTCATCTGTCTGTCCCCTAACAGCAATGGTACATCTATACATTTCTGTAGTAGCATCTATAGACTTCTGACCTTGGATCCTAGGTTCATCTAACTCTTGAGGATCCAGCATCATATAAGGGTATAAAGTAGGCACAAGTTGTTGACTTTCTCCGTAAAGGCAGATAGTAAGGGGTGGCAGGCCTCTGCAGGCCACACTATAACTGTCTCTATATCAAGTACTCTTGAGAGCAACTGAAGACTACATGCCAATGAATGGGGCACTGGCATAGTTTTCTATGCCCTAGTTTTCTGACCCTACATTAGGGTATCTCCTGTGTCTCCAGTGTTGGTGCCCATCCTTATGCTATCTTTCCAAAGTGATTCTGCAGATGCATATTTTAGAGTGAGCAGCAGGTCCTATGCTCCTGTGGCTTCAGATGGTCTGGTTTTTAGGAGGGGTTCCTGTAGATTTGAGGCCTACTGTACCCCCACCCCCACACACACCCTTTGCTGCCCAGTGGATTCTTCGGTTCATGTGGATTATAGGGTACACTTCCTAAAGCCACAGGTGTGAGCTCAAGGTGAGGTGATAGTAGAGGACAAATGTGTGTTCTCCAGGATGAGATACTATTTTAAACATATTGGTCTGGGGAAAGTAGTGTCAGAAGATTGTACTTGACCTTCCCTACTAGGGTAGCCCTGACCCCACAGGTGACTCACTAAGTCCATGGATGATTCATTTCAGTTACAAATTCAGAGAATTTGAAATAACCATTGAATGGATCTGTGACCCCAGACCTCTAGGAGAAAAACCTGGGACAGGTCTATTTATTTATTCCTTCTATTCCTGGCCCCATGTGAACTTTGTCACTTACCAGGGGGCCATCATGATACTTCAGATGCCTGGACATGGGGTCAGCTCACAGTGTTTCCAGGATGAATGTCTGAGTTTTTTTCTGCTTCTTGATGCACAGAGAACTGAATGAATGGGTGGATGGCACTTTGGGGCAGACTGGAAGGAGACATTGTAATGGCTCTCGAGTTCAAGGGTCAGTCCTGATAGACTCCTGGCCTCTCCTCCTAGGAATGCGTTCAGGCACTGAGACATGGCTGAGGTCTGGAAACTGAGCCAACAACCAGACTTTTGGTGGGTGTCAGCATTCAGCCTCCTGATCATCCATCCTTGGGTTTTGCTTTCCTTCTTGAAATCAGGCAGAATCTGAATTGCCTGCCCAGGTGCTTTGCCATGAGGTTCCTTGTGATCTCTCAGCCCCAGGCTTAGCTCGCTGAGGATCAGGCCCCTGGCTGTCTTTCTACTTTCTAAGCATGTGCACACTCTTTCCTTCTGTCTATTCATCACCTTCATTCAAGTTCCATGGTATCAGAATTTTTCTTCTCCATTACTTGCTCAGAGGCCAGATGTGGAATTCTGTCCCCCATCATGTACCCCGGTCTTTAGCAGTCACATCACTGAGCTTCTAGACAATGTTGGTGCCCTTCTTGGCAGGCAGGCTTTTTATTGTGTTACTTTATTTTAAATCACTACATATTAACATAAAAATGTTATATATTGAGGGGGTGCCATGTGAAGGTTATACTGTGTAAGGTTTAAATTATGTTAAACATATCTGCCACTGCTAGCATTTATCATTTCTTTATGGCAAAGGCTTTCAAAATCCTTTCTTTTAACTACTTGAGATACATAAGATTTATTGTTGTCTGTAGTCGCCCCACTGTGCCATAGCACACCAGAACTTCTTAATCCTACATAACTAGAACTTAGGACCCATCAGTCAACCTTTCCCCAGCCCTCCTTTTTCAGTTACTGTATACAGCCTCTGGTAACCACTATTCAATTCTCAACTTTTGGGATCAACTTTTTTAGATTCTATCTGCAAGTGAGATCATATGGTATTGGTATATCTGTGTTTGACTTACTTCCTTTAACATGATGATCTCCATTTCCATCATTGTGTTGCAAATGACAGGATTTTGTCCATTTTATGGATGAATAGTATTCCAGTGTGTGTTATGTATCACATGGTCATTATCTGTTCATCAGTTGATGGACACCTAGATTGTTTCTGTTTCTTGGCCTTTGTCAGTAGTGCTACAGTAAACATGGAAGTGCAAGTGTCTTTGATAGATTATATTTATTTCCTTTGGCTAATACCCAGTAGAGGAATTCCTGGATCGTATCCTGGTGTTATTTTTTAATTTTTTGAGGTCACTCCATACTGTTTTTCCTAGTGGCTCTATGAATTGACATTCCCACCAACAGTATATAAGGGTTCCAAAGCCAACACTTACTATCTTTTGTGTATCTGATAATAACCATTCTTAGTGGAGTGAGATGATAACTCATTGTGGTTATGATCTGCATTTCAAAGACAATTAGTGGTACTGAGTACTTTTGCATATGCCTGTTGGCTATTTGTAGGTTTCTTCTGAGAAATGTCTGTTCAGTTTCTCTCCAGTTTTTAATCAGGTTGTGGGTTGTTATTTTTTTTTTTAGTTCCTTATGTAGTCTGGATATTAACCTCTCATCACATGTGACATTTATAGACATCTTCTTCCATTCATATAGTGTCTCTTCACACTGAAAATTGTTTCTTTGCTGTGCAGAAGCTTTTTATCCTGGTCTAAGTCCAGGCCTTCTGGAATGGTATAGTGAGGATGCCTACAATTCTGTTCCTCATAAAACCATTGAGAATAGGTACAAATGGTTTCACCAATCAGCTTTGTCAGGCCTCCGAAAATTTACCCGAACTTACACCAATGTGAGGAGCATTTCTTCAAGAAAAATGACCAAATTTCAGCAAGAAAAGTGAGATTTCATGGCATGTTAACATGTCCCATTCCCATCCCCCCCACACACCTTGGAAGTGGCCTGGAAAAGGAGCAAGTGCACAATCTTCTAGGAAAACTAGCATCCCAGCCCAGAAGGTGCACTCTGGCCTTGGTGCACTCTGGAGTTGCCCATTCATAGGGCTCATCAGTATTTGACTACACAGAACTCATTCTTGGAAGAAGGGGGAAAGGGGAATCTCTACACCCACCTTGTCTTTTAAAAGGACACTAATCTTATTCTTAACCTAATGCTGGGACCCACTTGGCAATTAAGTCAGGAAACCTGATGATGGGAAATGGGGAATTAGAAAAGACAAACGGACACACAAGGGGAGAAAAAGCTGGGACCTGGTAGATAAAACACTCTGGTGGAGTGCAGTGACCATGAGTCAGCTCAGTACATTTATTATATGTTTTATCATTAAAAGGGTTTTTCTTTAAAGCAAGCAGAATCAAGATCATAGCTATAAGCAGCCCAATTATGATAATTAGCTTGCACCCATAACTTTCTACCCCTGAGCAGCTAGCACCTGAACTTCAAGGTCAAGAACTGGATAACTCTGTGGCTAACAACCTCCTATTGAGCAGGGTGTCACCACAGCAACTGGGCTATCTCAATAGCACCTTCTCCCTGAGGGTTCCCAAGACAGGCATCACCTCTGTCACAGGACAGTTCAAGACCCATACTTCAGTCACCACTCCCAACATCCTAACCACCAACCAATGACTTTGTCACAGGAGAAGACGTTTCTGGAGAAGGGGTCTGAGGATTCCCGGAAGCAGGCTGA